GTTTAAGCAGGAGGAGACTGAGGCTTGGGAGCCTCACACTGAGACGCATGACAGCATCCATTTTCAACCTGGATAGGCCTGATTCCGGGCTAGCCTCTCCTTTCATACTTTTCCACTTCTGTGTGCTTAATGTCTGCTCTCTGTAAAATGGGGTCAGAGGCCTGGTGGGGGTGGGGGTGAGAAGAGTGTATTTGAAAATAGTTATAGACAAGATCTTCTGGAAGGGCTATGGAGATCAAAGCTAGGTTACAGGAGTGTATCAGTTGGGAATGGGGAGAAAGCCTGAAGTCTCCACCTGTTCTTTAACCACTGCAGGGGGTGGGGGGGAGGGAGGGGTGGAGGAAGGGGCACTCCCTGGAGATCTGAGGGGTCTTGTGGGACTGGGACTTGTCACCTAATACTGATAAAGCATTCCCCATTTCACTAATCAGGGCAGACGTATGGAGGAAGTATAGGACCCAGGTGATCTGTGTAAGGAGAACTCCCCCCCACCTACCGCAGAACACAGTAGGTGGGAAGCCTGGGTGGTGTGTTGGTGGGAGGGTACTTGTGTGTGCCTGTGTGTACTGCTGTGAGTGCCTAGGCGACTGAGGGTGCATATGGCTTTAACGCTCTACTACTGGCCTAAAGGTTGGTGACTGGAACATACCTAGAGGGGACTCTGTAGACAGGCGTGACCATCTGCTTCTACTAAGCCACAGCCTTGAAAGCTGTGTAGAGCAGTTCTCTGTACACATGGGTCCCCTTGACTCCAGTCAACTGTGAGTGCTTGTGTGGGTGGGTGGCCTGGTCAGATGCAGAACATTTGTTATTGTGGTGCGCCCCCAAGTCAATTCCAACTCACAGCAACCTGATAGGAGAGAGTCAGAAGGCCCTTTAGGGTTTCTAAAACTGTGTTTGTAATGGGAACAGACAACCAGGCCTCCTCTCCCATGAAGCCACTGAGGGTTCCAATTTCTGGTCTTCCCTGGGCCTGAGAACCTTTGAACCACCAGCACCCTTTGTGCACAACAACTTGATATCCAGGACTAGTTGATAAGCGGGGTTGAGAATATGTGTCAAATTGCTTGAATGTTTGAAATCTCGAGTGTCTGTGTAACTTGGGAATACGTGAGAGTGCGTGATTGAGGAACCGAGTCCAAGGTAGTGAATTTGGTTTTGACTTTGACTATTCACCTCACAAGTACTTTAGACATGTTGTCAGGAATAGAGCAGTCCCTGGAATAGGACACCATGCTTAGTAAAGTGGAGGGGGCATCTAAAGAGAGTAAGGTCAAATCCTGCTAGACCAGAGGATGCATACTGATACAGACAGGAACTAGAAACATGGGGAATCCAAGACAGATGTTTCCCTCAGGACCAGTGGTGAGAGTGGCTATACCAGGAGGGTGGAGGGAGGGTGGGGTAAAAAGGGGGAACCTATTACAAGGATCTACATATTGCACCCCACCCCACCCCAGGGATGGACAACAGAAAAGTGGGTGAAGGGAGATGTGGGACAGTGTAAGACATGACAAAATAACAATAATTTATAAATTATCAAGGGTGAGGGAGCTAGGGATGGTGGGGGAGCGAGGGGAACAATGAGGAGCTGATACCAAGGGCTCAAGTCGAAAGCAAATGTTTTGAGAATGATGGCAACAAATGTACACATGTGCTTGACACAATAGATGAATGTTTCGATTGTGATAAGAATTGTATGAGCACCCAATAAAATGATTTTAAAAGAGAGAGAGAGAGAGAGAGTAAGGTCCTCAGCCAGATGGATTGACATTTCGGAATTTTGGGGTGTGCTCTACGGGGGGCAGTCTTGTGAACTCCTAGGCATGCTCTGCCCTGTGAGCATCATTTTGTGTTCCTGTGGCTGTGGGAATAAATGGACTTTTGTGAGCTTGTCCTGTGCATGTCCTTAAGGCTAAGCACTCATCTGCTGCGTATGTATGCTCCTGAGTAATCCATCCTGGGGTCCAGGTATGCCACTTCAAGAGCAGTTGGGAGAAAAAAGTGCGTGCCCATTAGGACCAAGCCTGAGGTTGTTAACGACTGAGATCTATCTCCATAGAGTGATTACTTTCTCTTCTCGCGGCAGACCCTCATTCAAGGACTCCTCTGAGCCAGGAACGTCGGGCTTCAGCTCTTGGAGGTGCCGCAACCCGCGGCGCTGCCGCCAAACCGGGGCGCCAGCGCTCCCTCCCTGCTAGCCGCCGGCTCTTGCGCGCTGCCCGACCCCAGCGCTGCTGGCGCCAGGCGCCGCGGAGAGCGGCGGGCTTCCTGGCCGCCTCCGGCAGAAAACTAGAATCTTCCTCTCCTCTCCTGCCTCGTTGGCCACCAGCACACACACACCCCACCCCCAGTCCCAGAGATCTCCCACCGGTAGAGCTGGACAGCCCTGGACTAAGCCAGAGGACCACACCGTGTCTGTCCTTTTTCTGTTCTGAAGGAGTTTGTCTTTCTTTGCATTCCCTTTTGCGGGAGCCTTGGTGGCGCGGTAGTTAAGCATTGGGCAAGCAGAAAGGCCGAACCAGTCGCTCTGAGAGAGAGAGAGATGGGGCAGGCACCTTCCCTAGAGATTGGAAACTTTGGAGGAGCGTTCCCCCCTATCCTACAGGACTCCTTTGAGTTGGTCCCCCAATGGACTGTGTTGTCCTAGCTGTTCACTCCCTAACACAGAGGTGTGATAGCACTGACTCACTTGCTGCAAGACTCCCCCAAAGCGCTCATCCTCATTGCACCTCATTTTCCCTGCCTGTACAATGACAATTGGCCTATGGCCTTCCTATCTCTGGGCTCATGATAGGAGACTAATAATATCACCAGACCAAGAGAAGGCCATCAACAAATCATTACCTAAGGAATAGGTAAAGCAATGAGCTCGAAATAATTTATTTTCTCTTTTTGTTGTTATTGAAAGGATACCAGGCACTAGCTCTGACAATGTTCTGCTTCTGTTCGTTAGGCTTTCCGTAACTGGCAGTGTTTCTCGATGCTGTCCATGAGGTTTTCAGTGACCAAGTCCTTCGGCCCATTCCTCCTTCTCCGTTGTCTGTTCTTAGTCCGGACGCTCCGCTGTAACCTGTTCACAGGGGTTACCCCGCTGGTGTTTGAGATGCCAGTGACATAGCATCCAGCATCACAGCAACACACAAGCCACCACAGAATGACAAATGGACAGTCAAGTGGTGGACACACAGCAGAGCATACACCAATTCAATAATTACCTACATGTACAGTTGGCGGTTGCTTGCATGCTTGAAGCTGCATTCTTGCCGCCCCCATTTGCTCTTTTAAAGGCATTCATAGAGATTTCACTCTTAGCTCAACATAACGTTGAGGAGAAAGGCCGACTGACTCCAGCCTCTCTAGGGAATTGGGCAGCGAGGAGCTCAGAAAGATTGGTAACCTGGAGAGAGAGCCCGGGGATCTGCCCCTCGACTAAAGTTACAGTGAAGGAAGCTGGAAACCCTACCACCTTGCCACCCCCAGGTCCACCTCCAGTTGAAGGGGAGACTTCTGTGGGGGACAATACAACAGGCCTGGAATTTCAGGTAGGGAAATAGCAGAAGGCTGTTGGAACAGGGTGGTGGTGCCCCTTGGCCTGGGGTGAGAGTTCGGGAAAGTCACCTTTCTGTGGTTGAGCCAGCTTCACAGACACTGTGGGTGGTAGTCTCTGATGCTGGCCTTTAGGTCCAAGGGCCCAGCTCTCCTGGAGTTAGCTTCAGCACAAGTGTCTCTAGACAATCAGGCTTCCTCAATCAGTGGTGGCCTGGGTGGAGAAGCCCAATAACACCCGCCCCGGGCCTTCTGTCCCAGTCCTTCTAAGAGAGGAGAATCTTGCTTGTCTGGATTGGCCCTAATAGCTATATTGAATGCAGAGGCTGACTGGGTGTCAGCTCCCAGCCTTTGGATTGATCTGGTGACCAGGAAGCAAAGCAAGCAGATGGGGCGTCTGGCCCTCATGCTGGAACAAACTGGTAAAATACCTGGGGACTGAGAGCTCTCCTACCTCCTCCACCCTCTCTGATGGTCAATACCCACTGGCCCTCAGCACCACCCTCCCAGGTCTGGCTCCATTGCTGAATGGTGCAGTAGGCTCCCGACACTGCAAACATCTAGAGTTCTTATTTTGAAACTAGTGAGTCAAGAAAAAAAAGACCCTTCCTTTCTCTCAACCCCTATTTGTACATTCAAAGGTGGGCTGTTCATGAAAGTCTTCTTTTCCTTACCTAATTCTAGATTCCTATCCTTGGGTCTGCTGGGAGAGGATGGCAGATAGGGTGTAGGGTGCAGGGCTTTGGAAACTTTTTGCTTCCAATTTTTAGCCCCCACCTCCCTCAACCGGAAGGGGGATTGAAGGATGAAGGCGGGGCCACTTCTGGGTCCCTGCTGGCGGCCCAGAGTCCAGTGGCTATAGCCCCGAGTAAAATCAGGGACGGCCACCACCCCTTACCCCCCTTTCCTCCTCTTCTCTCGTTGCCATTGGCTCCAGGGTGAGGTTGACATCAAAGCCACGGCCTTATATAAGCCAGACCTGGGTGGAGAGGCTGTAGAAGGGTTAAACAAGTCTTGGAGCATCGGCGTCCTCATCCAAGACAGAAGCAGGCTAGAAGGCGGCAAGCTGTGAGTTCCAGGACGCCCCCAAAGCCAGCGCCTACCAGAGCCCGGTCTGCTCGTCTAAAGTGGCCCCGGCAGTCTCGGGGGCGCATGGGGCGGCGCTAATCGGACTGGCGGCGCAGGCCAGGG